ATACACACACACACACACGCACGCACACACACACACACACACACACACACATATATATATCGGAAAATAGAAAGTGGTTTCATGTTACGGCGCCAGTGGCTAGTGTAATCTTAGCTTTAAGAGAAAAATTAAGTGAGAAAAATCTGTTTAGAACGTTACTGAAAAAAAGTCTTAAAAACGTTACAAGATGATACACAGTAAAGGCCCAGTCACAATGTCGGCGACCTGTCGGGGATTAGTTTTGGCCGGGGGTCGTCGTAGAAAATAAAGAATCCTTGAACAAGCCTAGCAATAATCCTAATAAAAGTGGAGCAGTCACATTGTCTGAGATTTTTTCAAGGATTTTGACCCGGTTTTGTCGAAAAATCGTGGGATTAGCCTCCGATTGCATCGGAGGCGATCGGAGACGATATCTGCGAGCGTCTTTTCTCGTAATTTTTTTCCCCCTGGGTATATGTGGTTACATATGGGTATATATTCGGAGGACGCCTCCGATCAATCGGAGGGCATCGTAGGTCATCGGAGATTGTGTCTGGGATGCCCAAAATGGGTGAAAAATCTTGCGAGCAATCTTAGAATTTTAAGTTCAAAGTTGGTGACCGCGACGGGTGTGGCGATGTCTAAAAAATCTGCGACAACCCGCAGGCGTCCGGAGAGCGCGGGTGCAAAATCGTGAGATCTGTCTCAAGATTTTGTTCAAATTTCCCGGGTTTTACCCATCCCCGCCGCATCGCAACTGATTTGTGACTGGGCCTTAATGTTTAACGCCAGGTCAAGGATTTGAATTTCGTGTACCGCCCATTTTTTACTTTTATTTTTCACGTATAATTAACTTAAAAGTAAAATATTAAACTTTTTGTAAACTCATTGTGTGTCATTCCGCACTATAATGATTTATATACGCTGTTGATTAAATTTCATTTCTTTTTCATTTGATGTTTTTCACAGATATTCCATTGCCTTGTGATCGTCTGACCAGTCCCCCCCCCCCTATACGCGTGACTTATTTGACTACCACTCATAAATATGTGTAAGCTAGTCATACACACCGCAGAGATGCTTAGCTGTGCAAAACGTTTCTTTTCTTTAAACTAACGCGTGACTTACAATGACTACCACTCAAGTGTGTGACAGCAAGCGTTATACAGTGCATCAGTGTTAAGCTGTGCAAAATGTTTTCCTGAAACGGACGGAGCTCATTTATTATTAAAGTGTCATTGAAAATATACTCATTTAATTTTATTCTACAGTTTAAATAACTTATATTCAAGTAAAATATATGATCTATATATAAATGGAATCAACCCAAAAGGAATGCATTTCATGGTTTTCAAGGTATAAAATGGCCAGCTGCTCGCGATGCCCTACACTGTCACCATCGATTTTCATGCAATACGGCTTTATTTACAACATGGCAGGTGTACCATGAAAATTTGACTCCCCTAAAAGGTGACTCCCCATAATAAAAATGACTCCCCAGTCAAAATTTCATAATGAAAATCAGACTCCCCAAAGAGAAATTTAGACATTTATCTT